TATATCTATTGAACTTACATAGAACCATGCACCCAGCAATTAGAAAGTATGTATTCTTTTCAAGCACACACGGGACACTTATCAAAATTGACCGCTTAGCCACAAAACAAGCTTTAATAAATACCAAATAATCAATATCACACAGACCACATTCTCTGACCACAACGTAATTATATAGACAATCAAAACATTAAAAACCATGTATTTATGGCTGCGCAGGGTGAATCACGCCTGCAATCCCAGCACTTTGGGAGGCCAAGTCAGACGGATCATGAGGTCAGGAGTTCGAGACCAGCTTGGCCAGTATGGCCCGTCTCTATAAAACAAAAACAAACAAACAAACAAAAATGTCAGGCCAGCACAATGGCTCACACCTGTAGTCCCAGCATTTTGTGAGGCCTAGGTGGGAGGATCGCTTGAGGCTAGGAGTTGGAGACCAGCCTGGGTAACATAGTGAGACCCCACCTCTACAAAAAAAACAAGGAAAAAATTAGTTAGACGTAGTGGTACATGCCTGCAGTGCCAGCTACTTGGTAGGCTGAGGTGGGAGGATTGCTTGAGCCCAAGAGTTTAAGGGTACAGTGAACTATGATCTTGCCATTGCACTGAAGCCTGGATAACATAGTGAGACCCTGTCTTCCAAACAAAAGTCAAATGGGGCCGGGCACAGTGGCTCATGCCTGTAGTTATCAGAACTTTGGGAGGCCAAGGTGGGTGGATCACCTGAGGTCAGGAGTTTGAGACCAGCCTGGCCAACATGGTGAAACCCCATCTCTACTAAAAATACAAAATTAGGCCCAGCATGGTGGCTCACTTGTGTAATCCCCTTGGATCACAAGGTCAGGAGTTTGAGACCAACCTGGCCAATGTAGTAAAATCCTGTCTCTACCAAAAATACAAAAAATTAGCCAGGCATGGTGGCAGGTGCTTGTAATCCCAGTATTTGGGAGTCTGAGGCAGGAGAATTGCTTGAACCCAGGAGGCAGATGTTGCAGTGAGCTGAGATTGTGCCATTGCACTCCAGGCTGGATGACAGAAGCAAGACTCTGTCTCAAAAACAAAACAAAACAAAACACACAAAAAATTATCTGGGCATGGTGGCATGTTCCTGTAGTCTCAGCTACCAGGAGACTGAGGCAGGAGAATCACTGGAACCCAGGACGTGGAGGTTGCAGTCAGCCCAGACTGCGTCACTGCACTCCAGCCTTGGCGACAGAGAGAGACTCCATCTCAAAGAAACAAACAAAACAAAAAAAACATCAAATGGGCCAGGCGCGGTGGCTCATGCCTGTAATCCCCGCACTTTGGGAGGCCAAGGCAGGCAGATCACCTGAGGTGATCCTGACCTTGTGATCCACCCGCCTTGACTTCCCAAAGTGCTGGATTACAGCAATGTAGCTGGGCACAGTGGCTCACACCTGTAATCCCAGCACTTTGGGAGGCCGAGGCAGGCAGGTCATGAGGTCAGGAGTTTGAGCCCAGCCTGGCCAACATAGTGAAACCCCGTCTCTTCTAAAAATTTTGAAAAATTATCCGGGCATGGTGGCTGGCGCCTGTAATCCTAGCTACTTGGGAGGCTGAGGCAGGAGAATCGCTTGAACCTGGAAGGCGGAGGTTGCAGTGAGCCGAGATTGTGCCACTGCACACCAACGCTGGTGACAGTGCTAGACTCTGTCTCAAAAACAAAACAAAAAGTTAAGTAGTACAGTCTTTTATTTTGAAATGGAGTTGAGATCGCGACATTGCACTCCAGCCTAGTCAACAAGAGTGAAACTCCATTAAAAAAAAAAAAAACTATCATGCCGCGGTTGGCCTGCACTATATTATTGTTTTTTCCTGGTCCTACAATTCCTAAAAAATCTGGTGTCTTGAGTATTTCATTTGGGAGGGAGTCACTACTAAAAATCTCAAACCAGGAAGCTTGTCTTCTTTGAGAATTTCCAGGCCTGGTAAGGATTCAGAGAAAGACTTCCTTAGGGGGGTTCTTTCTTTCTTTGGTGTGGGGGTGGTTTCCCATGTTGGTCTCAAACTCCAGGCCTCTAGCGATCCACCAGCCCCTTGGCCTCCCAAAGTGCTGGGATTACAGGCAGGAGGGCGGAGGCCAGCCCAGGGGGTCCTTTCATCCATCCCAATTCCTCCCTAGTTAAGGGCCTTAGCCTCAGAGTATGGATGGTGAATAATGGAGATGGAGGTGTCTCATGGGAGCCTTTTTCCTCTAATCCATTTTTGTTTGTTTGTTTTGAGATAGGAGTGTCTCGCCCTCAGCTCACTGCAACCTGTGCCTCCTGGGTTCAAGTGATTCTCCGGCCTCAGCCTCCCGAGTAGCTGGGATTACAGGTATGCACCGCCACACCTGGCTGATTTTTATATTTTTAGTAGAGAAGGGGCTTCACCATGTTGATCAGACTGGTTTCGAACTCCCAACCTCAAGTGATTTGCCCGCCTCAGCTTCCCAAAGTACTGCATCCGGCCTCTAATGCATTTTGGAAGGTCAGCCTTATATGCTTGTTGCATTCCGTAACTATCCGTAGATGATTTTTAAAAGGGGAAGCAATTTCACATTTATCCAGCAGAGGGAGCTCAATGGGAGAACTTTGGAGAGACTTGAGGTTTGGGTTTTTCTTTTTTCTTTTTTTTTGGAGACGGAGTTTCTCTCTTGTTGCCCAGGCTGGAGTGCAATGGCACTATCTTGGCTGACCGCAACCTTTGCCTCCAGGATTCAAGCGATTCTCCTGCCTCAGCCTCCCGAGTAGCTAGGATTACAGGCACGTACTACCACGCCCAGCTAATTTTGTATTTTTAGTAGAGACAGGGTTTCTTCAGGCTGGTCTCGAAATCCTGACCTCAGGTGATCTGCCTGCTTCGGCCTCCCAAAATGCTGGGATTACAGGCGTGAGCCACCATGCCTAGCTGGGTTTGTCTTTTCTAACAGGTCACTTCTCTTACACCAAACATTCTATTTCAGGAAACCATGCTGGTTCGGCCTTCAGGCTACAGCCGCCATCTGACCACCTCTCTACACCTCCAGGGCTACTGCTCTAGCCTGGACCCCCTTCATTTTCTCATTGGGATTACTGCAGAGACCTGTTCACACCTGCCCTGCTTTCATCTCCCCTCAACCCAGCAGCCAGAGAGATCGTTTTAAGATATAAGCACACTGTGTCCCTCTGCTCAAAATCCTGCAGTCTTCTCATATTTCTCTGAGTCAAAGTCAAAGTTCTTAAACCTGACAGCCCTCGGTGCCCCATGATCTCCCTGACCTCCTCTCCTTCAATTCTCCGCCAGGGTCCTCTGCTGCAGCCTCGCTCGCCTGTTGGCTGTGACTTGAACGCCAGGCAGGTTCTTGCTCTGCCCCTCTGTTTTCCACGTGCTTACTCCTGGTTTCTTTCATGTCTTGCTCATATCTTGCCTTTTTGGAGGGACCTGTCTGATCTCCCTGTTTAAGATTGCAATCGCCCCTTTCCAAGTCTCCCTGAACTTCTTACCCTGCTCTATTATTTCCTCCAGAGTACTGAGCACCTCCTAACACCATTCTATTGTAATGGTAACCAACAAATATCATTATTTGTTATGTTTACTATTATATTTTTCATCTTAATTCTATAATTTAAGCTCCTTGAGGGCAGGGATCTTTGCCTGTTTTGTTCACTGTGCTTAGGATAGTACCTGGCACGAAGTAGGTGCTTGCTTAGTAAATTATTGAATTAATGAATCAATACCCTTATTCTATTCTATTTCTTTTCTTTTTTTTTTTTTTTTTCAGACAAAGTCTTGCTCTGTCACCAGGTTGGAGTGCAGTGGTGCGATCCCGTCTCACTGCAACTCCCGTTTTCCGGTTTCAAGCAATTCTCTTGCCTCAGCCTCCTGAGTAGCTGGGACAACAGGCATGTACCACCCTGCCCGGCTAATTTTTTGTACTTTAGTAGAGATGGAGTTTCACCATGGTGGCCAGGATGGTCTCGATCTCTTGACCTCGTGATTCGCCCACCTCGGCCTCCCAAAGTGCTGGGATTACAGGAGTGAGCCACCGCGCCCGGCCTCAATACCCTTATTCTAATAGCTGAGATCTGGCCAGATGCAGTAGTTCATGCCTGTAATTCTATCACTTTGGGAGGTCGAAGCTGGAGGATCACCTGAGCTCAGGATTTGGAGATCAGTCTGGGAAACACAGCAAGACCTCATCGCTACTTAAATAAAAAATAGCCAGGCCTCAGGAGGCTGAGGTGGGAGGATTGCTTGAGCCCAGGAGATCAAGGCTGCAGTGAGCTCTTATTATGCCACTGCACTCCGGCCTGGGCAACTGAGTGAGACGCTGTCTGAGTGAGATCCTGCCTGAAAACAAAAACAAAAAGATCTTACAGATTTTTATTTTTTTTTTGAGACAAAGTCTTGCTCTTGTTGCCCAGGCTGCAGTGCAATGGCACGATCTCAGCTCACTGTAACCTCCACCTCCTGGGTTCAAGCGATTCTTCTGCCTCAGTCTTCCAAGTAGCTGAGATTACAGGCGCCCACCACCGCACCCAGCTAATTTTTGTATTTTTAGTACAGATCGGGTTTCCCCATGTTGGCCAGGCTGGTCTTGAACTCCTGACCTCAGGTGATCCACCCACCTTAGCCTCCCAAAGTGCTGGGATTACAGGCATGAGCCACTGCGCCTGACCAATTTGCAATTCTCTTCTAAATGAAGTTGAGGATATTTTCACATATGTAAAGGCCATTTGTAGCCTTTTTTGTGTGTGAGTAAACCATCACCTCATGCCTTTTGACCACTTTTCTAACAGGGAAGGATTATTTTAGAAAAACATTCTGCATTGGCCGGGCTCGGTGGCTCACGCCTGTAATCCCAGCACTTTGGGAGGCCGAGGCGGGTGGATCACGAGGTCAAGAGATCGAGACCATCCTGGTCAACATGGTGAAACCCTGTCTCTACTAAAACTACAAAAAATCAGCTGGGCATGGTGGCGCGTGCCTGTAATCCCAGCTACTCAGGAGGCTGAGGCAGGAGAATTGCCTGAACCCAGGAGGCGGAGGTTGCATTGAGCCGAGATCGCGCCATTGCACTCCAGCCTGGGTAACAAGAGCGAAACTCCGTCTCAAAAAAAAAAAAAAAAAAAAAGAAAAAGAAAAACATTCTGCATTAATTAAAGGTATATGGTAATCTGCTATAACAAAGAGGCGCCAGAATCCAGTGGCTTAGGTAAGATAGATCTAAAAGATCATTTGTTTTTCATGTAACAGTAAGAGGTGAGCAGCCCGGGGCTTGCAGAGTGACTGCCATCCTCAACATGTGGCTTCCATCTCTGTGGCTAAGGTAGCTACTCCAGGTGTTACCGTTTCTCAATCAGCAAGAAAGAGAAAAGTGAAGAGCAAGCAACTTTCTTCCTCTAAGCCTGGGGTCTAGAAGTTGCACACGTCCCTACTGCATGCCTCCCATTGGCCAGAACTTGGTCCCAGGGCCACATCTAGCTGCAAGGAAGGCTATTAAATCCAGTCTCTGGCTGGGCCACCATGTATCCTGCTAAAGCTTAAGGATGAGCCTTCCATTACTTTTTTTTTTTTTTTTTTTTTTTTAAAGACAGGGTCTCTCTCTGTTGCCCAGGCTGGAGTGTAATGACACAATCATAGTTTACTGCAGCCTCAAACTCCTGGGCTCAAGTGATCCTCCTGTCTTGGCCTCCCAAAGTGCTGGGATTACAGGTGTGAGCCACTGTGCACCTGGCCTTGTTTTATTTTTGAGATGGGGTCTCTCTCTCTCACCCAGGCTGGAGTGCAGTGGTGTGATCATGGCTCACTGCAGCCTTGATGTCCTTGGTTCAAGTGGTCTTCACATCTCAGCCTCCCAAGTAGCTGGGACTACAGGCTTGTGCCACCATGCCCTACTAATGTTTGTATTTTTTTGAAAAGATGCAAAAAAAAAAAAAAAAAAAAAAAAAAAAAAGACCTGTTGTTATGTTGCCCAGGCTGGTCTGGAGTTGCTAGGCTCAAATGATCCTCCTGCCTTAGCTTCCCAAAGTGCTGGGATTACAGGCATGAGTCACTGTGCATGGCCTGTTTTCTTTTTTTTTAAGAGACAGGGTCTCACTATGTTGCTCAGGTTGGAGTTCAATGGCTATTCACAGGTGTGATCATAGCTCACTGCAACCTCCAACTTTTAGGCTCAAGCAATCCTTCCATCTCAGCCTCCTGAGTAGCTGGGACTATAGGTGAGCACCACATCTGACTCACCTCCTGTTTTCTGAGTGTGAGTTTCCTCACTATCTGGCCCCACCTGCCTCTCCAGCTGGGTCTTGACTGTTCAGTCTTATGCATGCTCCAGCTTTGCCACACCTCTTAGTGGCCCCCAACAAGCCTGCATTTTTACACTGCCATTTCTTCTGTCCCGGGTGCCTTTCCTCCCCAGCACTGCATGGCAAACTCCTACACATCCTTCAAGGCCCATCTTGAATGTCACCTTCCCTATGATGACTTCCCCTATTACCGCATACTTATTTCCTTGTCCTCAGTGCTCCCATAGAACTTGGTGCACATCCACTCCAGTAGTCAGTGCACAGAACGGTAATCATTTATGTGTTTGCAGCTGCCGCTACAACATGGTGACCTCCTGGAGAACAGAGACATGCTCTATTCCTCTTTGTATTTGCCCTTTGTTATCAGAGCACAAAAGTATGTGATGCCGGGTACTGGTAGGTAGGTACTCTCTCAATAAATATGAGTGAGTGAGTGAGCGAGTGGTGGGGTGGATCTTAGCCTGAAAGAGGGAGCTCCCCACCTGCACTTTCCTGGAGCAATCTCTAGAGGGCAGTCTCACACCATGCTTGTCTTCCCTAGCCTCTGCCCAAGTTGCTTTTTTCCTACCATAGGCAGCTCAGATAGATATGGGTGGGTGGGTGGATGGATGGATGGACAGATGAACGAATGAACGAACAACTGGATGGATGGTGGATGAATGGATAGGGTGAGCATGGTCCACATGGGCCCTGGAGTTGACAAGCTCTGGGACCAGGGAATCTAAGTCAACCTAGGCACTGGAGGCACTGCTGGCCCATCCCTTAGACACAATGGCTTAGGGGCTAGGGCCTATGAGTGAAACTTAAAAAAAGGTTGTTGTTTCCAAAATAAATATGATAGTTGCAAAATGGTATTGGATAAATATTGAAATAAATGACTACAAAACAATATCTCAACCAATCAATTGCAACTCAACTCAGTTTGTATATATAGTTTATGTATAAACTACATTTCAGGCTGGGCGTGATGGCTCAGGCCTGTAATCCTAGCACTTTGGGAGGCTGAGGCGGTCGGATCACCTGAGGTTGGGAGTTTGAGACCAGCCTGACCAATATAGTGAGATGCTGTCTCTATTGAAAATACAAAAATTAGCCAGGTGTGGTGGCGCATGCCTGTAATCCCAGCTACTCGGAAGGCTGAGGCAGGAGAATCGCTTGAACCTGGGAGGGAGGCGGAGGTTGCAGTGAGCCGAGATTGCGCCATTGCACTCCAGCGTGGGCAACAAGAGTGAAACTACATCTCAGAAACAAACAAAAACAAAACCAAAAAAAGCCTACGTTTCGTGTGGGATGTGAGTACATTTTAATATTTTTGACATGATGTGGCACTCTTTAAAGTGTCAAGGGCCCTTGAATTCCTGAAAAGGCCCTGCAAGGAGCAAGCAGAATGGAGCCCAAGACTCCCCAGCAGAGGGCTCAGGACGCTGCTCATTATAAGCCCAGGCTCTGAGTCTCAAGCTGCAGGTCCACTCCCTCTACCTGCTGAGGGCTCTGGAGCCAAGCCCACAGAGATAACATTCAAGAACACAGACTGCCCTCAACCACAGTCTTTCCTAATCCCAAGGTAAGATGGGAGAGGGCTGGTGGAGATGGGTGGTATTTTGTTTACTTACATTCCTACATGGGGGAGATCTTGAATAGAAAGAGGCTCTGTCTCCTGGGACTGCCAGCTTGGGGGTGGAAGGGACAGGAGACAAGAACAGAACCAAGTGTCGTGCACGAATGCCTGTAGTCCTGGCTACTCAGAAGGCTGACATGGGAGGATCCTTCGAGCCTGGGAGATTGAGGCTGCAGTGAGCTGAGATTGCACCACTGTACTCCAGCCTGGATGACAGAATGAGACCCTGTCTCCAGAAAAAAAACAAAGTCAAGATTCAAGGGCATCTAACATCAAACCTAGTGTGCTTAATCACTACATCATAATCATGCCCTCTTTCAGAGTGAGCTGCCCAATTTCACAAAGCCATTAATCAAGTGGCAGGGCAGAACACTTACTGAGCGCTTACAATCAGTGTGTGTCAGGTGCTGTTCTAAATGCTCTACCCATTTTAACTCATCTAGCTAAAGCAGGGCCTATAATTGTCAATGCCATTTGACAAATGGGGAAATCAAGGCCAAGAGCAGTTGAGTGACTTGTCTAAATTTGCCACCAGACAGTCTGGTTCCAGAGTCTGGGCTCTTTACCGCAATGACCTACCTGCCTGTCTACTCTATGAAGGGACAAGGTTTGGGGCTGTCAAAACTCAGGGTCGGCCAGGTGTAGTGGCTCACGCCTGTAATCCCAACACTTTGGGAGGCCGAGGTGGGCGGATCACCTGAGGTGAGGTGGGCGGATCACCTGAGGTCAGGGGTTTGAGACCAGCCTGACCAACATGGAGAAACCTTTTCTTAACTAAAAATACAAAATAAGCCAGTCATGGTGGTTCATACCTCTAATCCCAGCTGCTCAGGAGGCTGAGGCAGGAGGACCGCTTGAACCCAGGAGGCGGAGGTTGCAGTGAGATGAGATTGTGCCACTGCACTCCAACCTGGGCAACAAGAGTGAATCTCTGTCTAGAAAAAAAAAAAAAACCCAAAAAACAAAAAACCTCAGGTTAAAAATTACAGGACAAGTGGAATAGAGGATGGGCAGGAGGGATGCAGGGGTGTGTGAGGTATGTGAAAGAGGTGGAACGTGGAGGAGAACCCAAACACAGATGTCCACAGATGTTCTCTGCTCTTTCCTCAGTAGGAACTCAATGCTGAGTTCCTATCAAAACTACTGACAGCATATCTCCCCAAATACCATTTCCTTAAAAGGCACTTTGCCAGTGTCTATTTTTTTTTTTTTAAGAAATGAGGTTTCACTCTATTGCCCAGGCTGGAGTGCAGTGTCATGATCTTGGCTCACTGCAACCTCAGCCTCCCAGGTTCAAGCAATTCTTCTGCCTCAGCTTCCTGAGTAGCTGGGATTACAAGCACCTGCCACCACTCCCAGCTAATTTTTGTGTTTTTAGTAGAGCTGGGGGTTTCACCATGTTGGCCAGGCTGGCCTTGAACTCCTGACCTTAAGTGATCTGCCCACCTTGGCCTCCCAAAGTGCTGGGATTACAGGCTGCACTCAGCCTGTCACTGTATCTTACTTAGCAAATACAGCTGCTTGCAAACAGCCATTTCTTTTTCCTTTGTGATTAGGGCCACTGATCTGCCAGAATGGCTATCCAGTCCTTCAGATAGGGTTAGAAGCCACTTTGTTGAGAATGATACGAGCAAGATGTCTGTCCGGGGGAATGACTGGTATAGACTTCATCAGAGATTGAATTAAGTGATGGAAAGGGAATGTTCCATGGCTCTGGTCCCTACTATAAATCTATTCAGGGTCTTTTGCATCAGTCCTAGGTTTCCTGACTTAAAGGGAAATAAGGACAGGTTTACGGAGATAGAATAATCCCATTTGGAGAAAGGAGTACTGGAACAAGACACAGAGTGTCTCTAATGAAGTGCAAGAGCTCTGAAGTTGGACTGCCTGAATTTAAATCCCAACTCTGTAGGCAGGGCATGGTAGTTCACGCCTGTAATCCCAGCACTTTGGAAGGCTGAGGCCAGCAGATTGCTTGAGCCCAGGAGTTTGAGAACAGCCTGGGCAACATGATGAAACCCTGTCTTTACAAAAAATACAAACATTCTGGTGGTGCATGATGGCTCATGCCTGTAATCCCAGTACTTTAGGAGGTCGAGGTGGGTGGATCATGTGAGGTTAGGAGTTTGAGACCAGCTTGGCCAACACGTGAAACCCCAACTCTGTCTCAAAACAAACAGACAAACAAACACCCCACAAAAATTCTCTGGCCATGGTGGTGCACACTTGTAGTCCCAGCTACTCAGGAGGCTGAGGTAAGAAGATGGCTTTAGCCCAGAAAGTAGAAGCTGCAGTGAGCTGTGATCATGCCACTACACTCCAGCTTGGGAGACAAAGCAGGACCCTGTCTCGGGAAAAAAAGAAAAAAATCCCGGGCCAGGCGCAGTGGCTCACGCCTATAATCCCAGCACTTTGGGAGGCCGAGGCGGGTGGATCACAAGGTCAAGAGATCGAGACCATCCTGGTCAACATGGTGAAACCCCGTCTCTACTAAAAATACAAAAAAATCAGCTGGGCATGGTGGCGCGTGCCTGTAATCCCAGCTACTCAGGAGGCTGAGGCAGGAGAATTGCCTGAACCCAGGAGGCGGAGGTTGCGGTGAGTGCGCCATTGCACTCCAGCCTGGGTAACAAGAGCGAAACTCCGTCTCAAAAAAAAAAAAAAAAAAAAAAAAAATCCCAACTCTGTATGACCACACATAATTCACTCATCCTTTCTCCATGTCCTATCTGTGAAATGGGTTTATTAATACCTTTGATTGTTATTTATCATATATTAATGATTAATGTTTTGTTGTGGGGGTTAAAATGATCAAATACAAAGTGCTTAACATAAAAGCACTCAATGCCCACTTTTTTTTTTTGAGATGGAATTTTGCTCTTGTCACCCAGGCTGGAGTGCAACGGCGAGATCTCGGCTCACTGTAACCTCGGCCTCCTGGGTTCCAGTGATTCTCCTGCCTCAGCCTCCCAAGTAGCTGGGATTATAGGCAAGCACCACCATACCCGGTTAATTTTGTATTTTAGTAGAGATGGGGTTTCACCAGGTTGGCCAGGCTGGTCTCGAACTCTTGACCTCAGGTGATCCTTGGGTCTTGGCCTCCCAAAGTGCTGGGATTACAGGCATGAGCCACTGCGCCCAGCCCAATGCATACTCTTTTATCCAAATTAAAAGGAGATGTTACACTTAAAATTTTGTTAAGAAGGTAGATCTCATGTTGTGTTCTTACACAATAAAAAAGTTATAACAGATGAGTAGGTAGTCAGCAGAAAAAAGAAAAAAAACAAAACGTTAACTCAGAAAAAAATAAAAGGAGATGACATACAGCAGATGCGGACACAACAAAAATAATCCTGTTGTTCAGTATGTGTTGACAGGGTCTGAAGCTGGCTACAGGAAGAATTTCCCAGCAACAAAGAGTGGGAAGCCCTGAGCAAATTGTAAAATCTCCTCAGTTTCTTCCCAAGAGAAGCTTTCATCTCAGGGGTGGTCATTTCTGGAGGCAGGGGCTGCAGGAGACACCCTGGTAGCAGGCAGGTCTGTTTGGTTCCTGAGTCCATGACAGTTGATAAACAAGGCCCCTTCAGTGCTGCGCTGGGCATTGTCTGGGGTATGTAACCAGGAGATGGAGTGCCTGCATTTCCAAGATCATTTGTAGCTGTTTCCTGGACCTGAGTAAATTTTTATTTTAAAGGTGCCCCCTGGCCCGATCCAAATCTCAGCTTAACATTAGCAGTTGCTTCTCTTTGGCTGAGCAGATGAACTACAAAAAACTCCCGGAGTGAAAGAGGAAAGGGAGGGGTGGGGTTGGGTGAGGCAACAGGGATGGGTTCCGCGTGATGGGAGGTGGGCCTGGTGGTCACTAGGGCCTCTCCAGTAAACGGGAAGGGCAGGCAGGCTACTGGCAAAGAAAGAGTTACTGAGCATCAGCTGAAGGGATGGCAAGCAGTGAGGGAGGCTCTGGCCCAGTAATTCTTATCTTCAGGAAAGTTTAAGAGTCATTGTCACTCACAAGGCATTTCCTGGACTATGAACTTTATTGCAGAAAGGACAGAATGGCTGGGTGGGAGGAAGTTAGCCTCAGGCTCCATACCCACCCCTCCCATTCCCCCACAGCTGGGTTTGCTGTTTCTCCAAACAATTTAGTGTTAACAACATAAACCCTGGTCCAGCCTGGCCTCCTGCAGCTGTGCGGCCTTCAAGTCTTTATCCTTGATAAGCCTTGGCGCCTTCATCTATAAATGGGTTTAATAACACCATTTGCTTATAGTTAATACCGAATATATGTTGGGTTTGAGTGATGATGAGGAACCTGGGGCCAGAGATTTTTACTGAGGGGATGAATAGAGAACAGAATATGTCCCTGTTTTTTTTTTTTTTGAGACGAGTCTTGCTCTGTCACCCAGGCTGGAGTGCAATGGTGTAATCTTGGTTCACTGCAACCTCCACTTCCCGGGTTCAAGTGATTCTCGTGCCTCCACTTCCCAAGCAGCTGGGATTACAGGTGCCAGCCACCATGCGTGGCTAATTTTTGTATTTTTAGTAGAGACGAGATTTCACCATGTTGGCCAGGCTGGTCTTGAACCCCTGACCTCAGGTGATCTGCCTGCTTCTGCCTCCCAGAGTGCTGGGATTACAGGCGTGAGCCACCATGCCAGGCCTGTCCCCTGTTCTTGGGAGCTGATCAGAGGATCAAGGTGGGCATGGATCAAAAGAAATGCACTTGGTTGCCTCATCTAGCCAATGGTGCGAAAGCACCAATCTTGAAAACAATTTCTAGTTACCACTTTTAGTACATTTTGGGTTTTTGTTGTGTTTGTTTGTTTGTTTTTCTCTTTTTTTGGAGATGGACTCTTGCTGTGTCGCCCAGGCTGGAGTGCAGTGGCGTGATCTTGGCTCACTGCAACCTCCGCCTTTTGGTTCAAGCAATTCCCCTGCCTCAGCTTCCTGAGTAGCTGAGGCTACAGATGCATGTTACCACGCCCGGCTAATTTTTTGTAATTTAGTAGAGACAGGGTTTCACCATGTTGCCCAGGCTGGTCTTGAACTCCTGAGGTCAGGCAGTCCGCCTGCTTCAGCCTCCCAAAGTGCTGGATTACAGGCATGAGTCACGGGGCTCATTTTGTCTTCCCAGTCTATTTTGAGATGTTATTCAAATAAATGTGTGTCTCCAGGGCTTCAGCAGGCTGGCAGCAGGAAGTAGCAATCAGGAAACACGAGGTGGCAAGCAGGACACTGGGTCAGAACGTGTTCTGAGCCCACTGGGAGGCAAGGTTTGCTGAATTCTACACAACGGCAGCTACCGGGTCCCTCTGTGTTGTGGAGCCAGGGAAGGCTTCCAGACATAGGGGGCTTCTCCCTGTAATTTGAGGGAGATTATTGGCTCAGGCAAAGGTGAGAGGGTTTAAAGAGAAAAAGAGAAGCACCGTGCAGCCTCAAGCTGGAAAAAGCCCTGGGGAGCTTGTAGAGATCCACTTCTAGGGACAGAGACCATGAGGGGTCATAGGTGGCAGGGCAGAGAACAACATCCCAGGGAACAGATGTCGAAGATGGATTAGACCCTGACAACGGATGTGAAATATTGACCCAGCGAAAAAAAAGTGCCTGGTGTTTGCACAGGCCAAACTGGTGCTCCAGCTTCCTTGGGAGGAGGGGCCGGAAAGTGCCCAGGTCCGGAGATCACTCTCCACACTCCCACATACTCTCCCAGGGGCCACAAGTCAGTCTCCAGCTCGGGGAGGATATAAATGAGGATGCCTGTGTTGGAAATCAAGGCAGGCATTCATGGGCATGCAGGCACACATGCACACATAGTCTTTTTAATTTACTTGAAGGCTCACCTAGTTCTGTTTGTGTTTAAAAAAAAAACAGAG